TTGTGTCCTTGTGCTTGCGAGGCAGGCAGCAGAAACACTGAGCTAAATCCCTGGTGACATTTTAATATTTTCTTCCCATCTCACTATATCTGTTATACATTTTGGTCCTCATTTACACTTTCAGTTTCTCACACCAGAGAAACAATTCAGTATTTACACGTGTGTCCTATTTACTTCACTTAAGAGTATGGACTCCATGCGCATTCATTTAGCTATAAATGTCTCTAGTTTGTCATTCTTTATGGCTGAGTACGTCTGGATCTTTTTCGCTCTATGGATTCTTTATCAGTTGAGAAAACCTGCAGATTCCTTTCAGAAAAAATATTTTAAATATATACCACAAATTAGAATTTGCTGAAATATCTATAGCAATAAAGATTACTATGTTACAACCCAATTTGGGACATAGTAATAAGACATAACAGCAGGTCTAATAACTATTCTAATTTTTGAGTAGTGTTGAGTGTAAACAATTCTTCAAAATACTTCCCACAGTTGTAATCTGATATGCAAATGCCTATGATTTCTATTTCAGTTAAGGGCTAGATGAATAAAGATGAAGGTTTTTGTCCCCACCTGCATTGATGGACCCTTGAATTCTGTCCATGCTTAAGAATCACTAGTTTAATTAAAATGTCAAGCATTTATCAAATAATTATCCATAAAAATCATATTTATGAAAAGTGTTCTGAAGGAAAAAGAAGGAGGGTTGGAGAACTTTTAGTACCAGGGTCTGAACCAAGACAGACTGACATTTAAGCTAAGATCTGAAGAACAAAGAATTGGCTCGTCTGGGGGAATGGCACCGAATCAGGTGCAAAGGGCCTGAGGAGAAATCTTTAAGGGAATTGAGAAAAGACCAACGTGGTTGAAATTCGGTGAAGACCAAGGGAAGGGGAATGAAGGAAACAAAGGGGCCTTTGTTTCTATTTGTTTCTTTATAGCCAGCTAATAACACCGTTTCTCTTACCTCCCACCACCTGCTCTCTTACTATCAAAACTCTGAAAGAGATCGTGAGGAAAACAGGAAGAACTCTACTTGGTCATCTGCAGGAATGGGGGCAGTTAGCCTTCCAGATTTTATTATTAGGGACCTGCATCCCATCCAGCTAGAATAAGGGTATAACTGCCACCTACCAGGCCTAAAATCTCTAAGTCCAGTTCCATGGACTTCTGGGAAAAGCTGCAAAGGTCAAGGCCAGAAAGGAAGGGCATCTGCATAGGAGCTCTAAGACAGTCTTACCTCCAGGACCTCAGAGATAAAGTAGTCAAGTCAGTTTTCCAAGTATTTGGAAGAAACTAGAGGAGAGAGGGAAGGAGAAAAATGCTAGACAGTGATGCTGGAGGCCCAGGTCACTGAAAGAAGGCCTCGGGGAAAGACAGAGCAGACAGATGGGCCTGAGTGGAGGCTGTCATCTCCCTTAGGAGCCCTGCCCAGGCAGAGTCAAAGGACAGAGTATCCACTCAAGGAATCCAATCAGTCCACTGCTACAGAGAGCCAGGCCATGTGTGGGGTTGATCACCGATGAGGAAACTCCAGAATGGAGTCACAGACAGGGAGAGGTGTCACTGGTTGGACTCTGAACCCAGCCGTCTGCCTCCAAAGCAGAATGAAATCAAGGGTCCAGGTTAGAGAAGAGAATTCTGATATCCGTAATCCCAGCACTCAGGGAGTCTGGGGCAGGAAGGTTGCAAGTTCTAGCTCAGCCTAAACAATTTAGCAACTGAACAAGACCCTGTCTCACAATTTTAAAAAGGGCTGGGGATGTAGCTTAGTGCAAAGGCCCTGGGTTCAATCCCTGGGAAAGCGGGGAGTGGAAAAAGGGAAGAAGAAGGAGAAAAGGAGGAAGAGAAGGAAGAGGAAGTGGGGATTATCCCGTGATGAAGAGACATCTGGTGGTGGAGACAGCAGAGACAACATGGCTAGGAGGACTCAGCCATCTTCTTACCAACTTGCACTTGGCCCCGTGTTCAGTGTTTAGTGTGAAAAGGAGGATGGAAGGGTCCAAAACAAAGTTATCCTCCAGATGGAGATGCTGATTCTATACAAACAAAATGGAGCTTCAGAAAATATGTAAAAGTCTGACACCGCGCAGAGGCAGAAGGTCAAAGATAAGACGGAAAAGTCCAAGAGTACAGGGCATGCTGTGGACCGCGACACATGCTAGTATTTGAGCAGGTGCAGGAGGAAGAAGGAAGGCCCTTCAGGCATGGGATATGGCAGCAGAAAGAGCCAGGAAGTGGGGGAAACATTAAGTTCTGGGACCTGGACTAGAACCACCTCCTGGGCCTGAATCCCAGAGCTTTGCAGGCCTCATGGGGCCCATGGAGGGAGGCTGTTTCTGAAAAGCAGGCTCAAGGCAACCTGAAACCATCCTTGGTGTTTCAGTGAGAAATCCAGTACTACGAGTGGAGAAAGCCACACCCAGACAGACCAGAAGATGAAAGGGTAAGCCAAGCGGGCGATGGCAGGCTCACTATGTGACCAGACTCTGCCTTCCCATTCCCAGTCCCAGGGGTGTGGAAATGACCCAGTGCAGACCAGACTCCCAGAAGTCATAGGGCAGAGGACAAAGATCCTGCAGAGCAAAAGGCTCACAGCCAAGATGCCAGAGACAACACAGACAGTAGCAAGAAATTCCTCTGCTATGCCAGGCACTGTGAGGAGCATACTGCATTCACTGACTTGCTTATTCTTCAAAGGCAATCCTATTAGCAAGGATATTTTATCCCATTTCATAGAGGAGCAAGCTGAAAGTTGGCCAAGTGAAATGTCTTGCCTGCCGACATGGCTAATAAGGAATAGAGCTGGTGTTTGAGCCTGAATCTCCCAGCTCCAAATTCCATCTCACTGCCCTTAACATGTGCCACCTGCACACAACCAGCTTCCCTGTGGGCTCACCAAATGCACCCTGGGCCCCTGCCTGGTGTTATTGGGAAGAGCTTTTCCTCCTGCATCTGGGGGTGCTGGGGGAAGCTCCGAGTGAAGACTGAGAACTCAGGGGCCCAGGGAGGCCAGAGTGGCACCCTTGAGGCCACTAATGCCACCCCTCAAATTCTTCTTATCTGTGTCCACAGCCATGCTAACCATGACATTGTCCAGTACAAGAGTGGGATCTGTGGTATCATGAGGGCCAAGTTTTACAGCATAGCCCAGGAAGCTGGCTACTGCCTGCAGGACAAGATGGAGGTCCTTGTGAAGTAAGGGCACGACTGTATCTAAATCACTCACAGAACACTCATCGGGCACCTACTGGGTGCCTACCAGGTGATAGGTGCTGGGGCTATAATCTGCTAGTGACAGCAAAGACATACTCCCTTCCCTCAGGGAGTTACCAGTACCCTGAGACACTGGGGCAGAAACAATATAGAAACAGAGAGTTACAGATTATAATCACCCCACACAGGAAGACAACAGGGTATTACATCAGGGAGGGACGAAAGGGGAGAGGGGGCAGAAAGAGGTAAAGGGGGGGACAGGGGAAACCTCAACACCAAAGAGGCGGAGTGGGGGAAAGAGAGTAAGAAAAAGAAAGAGGGAAGAGGAGGAGAGGGGGGAAGAGATGGCGAAAAGAAGACAGTGGAGGAGAGGAGGACAGGAGGGTGAAGAAGGAGAAGGAAGAGATGAAGGAAGAGGAGAAGGGGAGAAAGAGGAGGAGGAGGAGAGGAAGAAGGGGAGGAGGAAGAGGAGGAGGAGGAGAGGAAGAAGAGGAGGAGGAGAGGAAGAAGGGGAGGAGGAAGAAGAGGAGGAGGAGAGGAAGGAGGGGAGGAGGAAGAAGAGGAGGAGGCGGAGAGGAAGAAGGGGAGAAAGAGGAGGAGGAGGAGAGGAAGAAGGGGAGGAGGAAGAGGATGAGGAGAGGAAGAAGGGGAGGAGGAAGAGGATGAGGAGGAGAGGAAGAAGGGGAGGAGGAGGAGAGGAAGAAGGGGGAGGGGAGGAGGAAGAAGAGGAGGAGGCGGAGAGGAAGAAGGGGAGAAAGAGGAGGAGGAGGAGAGGAAGAAGGGGAGGAGGAAGAGGATGAGGAGAGGAAGAAGGGGAGGAGGAAGAGGATGAGGAGGAGAGGAAGAAGGGGAGGAGGAGGAGAGGAAGAAGGGGAGGAAGAAGAGGAGGAGGGAAACAACAACAAGGAGGGAGAGCAGCAGGAAGAAGAGGAGGAGGGGGAGGAGGGGGAGAAATTTGCTGACCTGCAAAGTTCTCTCTCAGGTGATTTTCTG